AAGTAAAAATGGCTCTGTTAGTTTACAACACTCAAACCAAGCAACAGAGCTGAAATGATGTATATTGCTTTTATAGAATTTCTTTTTTTATTTCTAACACATCGATATAATCTTACTATATTCAAAATAAAGTATTGACGTTATATGTATTTTAAAATTCATATATATATATATATATACTCACATTTCTATTCATCTCTTTGAACTGATATGCTAAGCCTCAATGATCACTACTTTAACGGTAGTGATTTGTTCTATTTCTTTACTGTATAAAACGGTTATTAAAGGTATCCGTACTTTATCGTTGATCAAATATAAAAAAACATATAGAAAGCTACATTTCTAGGTTAAACACAAAAAAACTGGAGGAATTGCATACACTCTGAAAGTATCGTGGAGCGTTGACAGGGTAACCCTCTCCTGCTATATATTCATGACCGGCATATTTGCGGATGACATTGTATTTTAGTCGGTTACTCCATTCCCTGCATACATTAGTTTTTTTTAGGTTTCCATCACAAATCAAGTTCTCTCCTGTCAATCCCTCGGTACGATTTATTTGTTGTGCAAAAGATAGGACAGACACTAAAAGGACATTCAAACTCATAAGTCGATAACAAACTTGCAATGCCATTGCAAAAAACAACCGAAAGACAAACAGCTGTACACAAAACACAACATAAAAAACTAAATGCAAAGCAAGATGAACAAGATCTCAATTAAGGTGGAGGGGAGGGGATGTTATCTCATGTGATACGCAAGGGTTATTGAATAGATCTGATTCATAGATTTCAACATTGATTGGTTACAGCTTCCTGTTTTTGTATATACAAGTGATCCCTGTCTTTTTTTTTTCTTCAACAGGTTTTGTCTCATTTCCACAATTACATAGTTGTGACCAATACAATGCCATTAAACGATAACAAAACACACCGAGCGCTCAAACTTGGTTTTAAACAATATATATTCTATAAATCAAATCATGATACGTATAAGATAATACATTATTTACAATTGGATCAAAAAACAATGGAACTTAATTACAGAGATTTATTATACCAAAAAGCCTTACTTGACAAATATTTACTAGGAGCAGGCACATAAACATGTATTTAGGCTTTTTTTAAATTTAAATCTCAACTGATTTTTCTATTCCGTGAAAAAAAGGCGGGAGAGACGAAAGGGATATTCAAACTCATAAATTGAAAACAACATGGCGATGTCATTTCAAAAATCCAAAAGATACAGTCTACGAAAAAACATAGAAAATTAAAAACTGAACAAAACAAACCCCACTAAAAACAGAGGGTGATCGCATGTGCTCCTTAAGGGTGAGCTAATCTTGCTGCACTTGCATTTGTCGTGTTACTCCTATTATTGGCGTTACTAAGTTTTATCAAGTGATATATAAAACATCACGCAATAGCAGATAACTAATTGATTATAATGTAATCCTAAGATATCAGCATTTTCATTAATGTATCGTTATCACTTGAAGTTCGTTGGCGTGATTTGTCGTTTATTATTATGTAAAACCGCCTCCTATATGAACTAACTATTTCAAAATGTTAGTCTGAACGTTGTATTGATATTTCTGGTGTTGTTTATATCGGACAGTTTCAATTAACAAAGTTCCTCTACTACCTTTACTGTTAAATGTTTATAGATGTGTTTGTACAAATACTAGTGTCACTGAACTGTCGTTTTATCTGTCAATACATGGTTCAAATTAACATGTTTTTATCTATAGTAGTCTGTATGAAACACTTTGTTTAAGTATACAGTATGATAACTTTGATATTGTTAAAGATAGAAAGATATTAATTTTAATGCACTGATAAACTTTAATATATGCAAACATTGGACATTTTTCTAGTATGAGGTACGACGTCAAGTGTATGTTAACATGCATGAATAACATTTTTACATCCATTCCTGATTTTTATACAATTATGTAAATTACACTAGTAGTTCACTTTTATGTTTTACGTGTGATTTATTTTCTTTTATAAATTACAAAAGTAGCTTGTGCAAACTAAAATTAATTTATCAGAATATAATGTTATCTTACACAGATTCCAAAAATATATTGTTTGTGGTTCTTTCCTTTGAATAAGTGAGATGATCAGGTACTTCCGCTTTAAAACAGTCACTACATGTGTCATCTGAAAACGTACTTTCTTTCATTACAAATATATATATATGTGAAATAAGAAGAAAATTAGCTGTTCACTTTCGGTGTCATATGATAACTTTCATTACACTGCTCCGAAAACAAAACATAGTTTCTTAATGTTATTGCTTACAATAAGGGAAATAATTTCTTACTTCCAGATTATATGAAATATTGATTTATACTGATGCTGAAGATATAATGTAACTAGGTACTTTTACATGAAATAAGTATAGAAAAATTCAAGTAAACATTTACGAACGTTCTATTTTGCTTGCGTTTTTGAAGGTCATATGACATCCATTCTAATGCGAAGGATTATACGACCTGATCATGTAACAACATTAAGATATAGCAAAGGTCGAAATATAGAACGCAATTTTAAAATCCCAGGTTCATATTATAAGAAGTATTCCTACCAAACACATTATTTTTAAAACTTCCAGTGAGAAATTAAACTTCTTGTAAATGTAACAAGAGCACTTCAACTCAAATGTATTTGCGTGTCGCAACTTAAAATTTACCTAAAACCGTATGTTGATTGCTTTTTACGGTTTTCTGATGAGTTGCTATAAAAAGATGAATTAAAAAATATGATAGATTATTCATGAGTCAGGCGATATACTACCAAACAGATCATTTCAAATATTTTGGGGAGAAAACTTAAAAGTTACCAAAGCACTTCGACAGTTATGTATGAAGTTGTGAGATATCGTTAATAACCATTTGATATACAAAATCTTTTGTCAATAACTCTTATGGTTTCTGATGGTTAACGATAACATGCAAACTTCAAAATTAAAAAAGTAACATACACCTTTGACCTTGTTCTAGAATTTCTTTTGATCAAAAATGAACCCCAAGTCAGAAAACTTGGGCCTCTATTCATTTTGATAGATGATCTACTTATATCTCTTATCATTAATACAGGAAAAAAGAAATAAAACACTCTCATACGGAGTCGCCAGATCGCTTTAGTCAAAATTAAACAGAACATTCTGAGAATATAACGAGAAATTTGGGAAATCAATTGTCAATTTTGTTTTTGGATGCGAACGAGTAATGAAAAACAGAGGACAGGGAGAAAATACAACTTGTTTGTTTACACAAGAGCAACTGCATAAGCATATTAATTGTTCAATATCATGTATTATGTGCCAAACATCTTTTCGATATCTGACAAAACAAAACTAAAAAACCTAAACATCTTGAAGTGACAGAGGAACGAAAATAGATTTAACGGAAAGATGGAATTAATTATGGTGCGAATACACATCCAAAATGTTCTTTCTCTAGTGTTAATCGATTACTGTCATCATTTCTTAAAATCTTAAATGACGAGACAGAAGATCAAGATAAGTTTAAAAAAAGTGTTTGTATTATGCAACGTTCAAATAATATATTCGTTCAGATACTTAGTAGAAAACAAACGATACTGAATATTGCATGCAGTACAGACCATAACTTTCAAGTAATACAAGTTATCAGATAAATATAGAAAAAAGAAGATGTGGTATGATTGCCAATGAAATAATTCCCCCCACGAGACTAAATGATGTAGAAGTATGTAACTATAAGTCACCTTACAGCTTCAACAATGATCAAACGGAATCCAACAAGGCAAGCTATAAAAGACCCTGAAACGACAATTGTAAAACAACTCAAATGCGAAAGCTATTTATGCACGAAACAATAAACAAAACAATAACATGATAAAGATCAACAAACACCAACCACTGATTTACAGGCTCCTGAGTTAGTACATGCACATACAGAATAAGGAACTGTTAAACATGTTTTTTGGCGCCCAACCCTCCCCGTAACATACATGCATTTAACTAATACAATATGATTAAATATCAACATTACATGAATTTAACCAATAAAGAATTAAATAAGCAGTAGACATAATAGTACTTTATAATTCTTTAAAAAATTACATATCTATAGATATTCAAATGCTCATGAGTTCTTTTTTTGTTTTGTTTACGTTTGAAAGATAAATTTGCGGAAACTATTCAGTAACCTTTGTTAAAACGTTGTCAATTTACCTGTATTGTGTGCAATATCTGATGGAATCCTTGTGTTTTAATAAAATAGTAATTAGGGGAAATACTAAAACATTTGGCGGAAAATTATAAGAATTAAGGTCAGATGACAGTAAATGGGTTATGCTACAGATTTTGGTTAATGTTGCATACAACTTTGACTCGTTGAACTATTACCAAAAATCGAACAGTTAATGCATTTGTCTCTTATATGATTTGAATATTAATGATTGAACATTTGTATAGAAATCACATAAAATCGGCCAATACGTTCTTAAATGTTTCATAAAATCTGCAAACCTCCAGTTTCAAACTCATTGGTTTTTTTAATTACAAGACGTTGATACAACATTTCTGTAAATGATATTTAATAATAATGTTGTCACCGACTGTTGAAATCTCTATGGTGTTACTTGTTAATTATGAACTTGTCCATCTGTTAGCAACATCTTCAGTCGTCTCCAAGATTCATTTAAATCTCTTTGATCTTTCGGCCATTGTACAACATAGGCATAATTCCAAATGTACGAAAACTCCAAGGGAATATCGGTAATTATAATATCTTTTGTTATAACAATAATTTTGTCTAGATTTTTTGTTACTGTCTCATATTTTGCTCTATCGAGTTCAAACAAGCAATCACGCGACGATTTGAACTCAGGTGTGATGAGGAAAATAATGTACCTACTGTTTTTGATACATTCGGCCTCAGTATCCAAAAGACTCTCACCAATTAAAAAATCTCGATCTTTTATACACATGGTCAGTCCCCACTCGACCTCAAGTTTTGGTGCTAAGACATCTTTTATCCAAACGACTACCCCTCCTTCATTAGACATATACACGTCGTACTGGTATGTCTTTCGAACTTTTTGTTCAATACTACGCTGAATAACTCCATAGATAGAGAAGGCAATTTTCCATCTTTTACTATACAACAGAAGCAGTAACGAGATTGTAACACATGTAGATAACAATGTCGAAGCAAAGGTTAACCACATAGTACTCTTACAGTCCGCGAACAAGTGTGATAAGGAGTTGTAGGCAGTAAGTGTATCAGTAACGGTTCCATTTGATAATTGACATTTATAAGACCGACTGTCCAGATCAACTTTTGTAGTCTGTATCCATCGTATAAAGTCTAAATTATCGCAGTTGCAAATAAATGCATTGCCATCAAGGTACAAAGCCATTCCATGGATTTCATGCATTTTATCTGCCCAATTTCTAATGAGTGAATTTATACTTGTAAGGAGATTTTTCTAACATCAAGCACCTTTATGTTTGTTTGCGTATCCAGCTGTTCTGGAATAGATTGGAGAAAATTGTCAGTTAAATAAAGATTTGACAAATTTGGCATTGGTTTAAAAATATCGTCCGAAAAATGCCAAATACTATTTTCAGATATATCCAGTGACTTGACTGATTGACATTTCATGAAAAACCTGTTTCCGTATGTGTCTATTCCATCATTAAGGGTAGCGTCTTTCAAAACTATTTTTTTTAGGTTGGTCTCTTGAAAACGATTTAATTCCTTCCAACCGAAACTTTACCTCGTTCCAGCAGAAATAAATGTCTCTAATCGAAGTTCAATAAAAAGCATGGTCACAGTTGTATTTGTATAAGATATATCCAAATAAGTAAGATTATTGATTTTAGGAACTATAAACAGTAAGGGTAATGTATTAACTATTGTGAAACTGATATCTAATTGTTCTAATGATGCTGGCAAGATTACGTGACTATCACCAGAACTTTTAAAATCAGAATCTGAGGTCAATGAATTTTCAATGAAGAAGTTGACGACATTATATGAATAATCCAAAGTTTGCAATCGCAAAGCTTTTCTAAAAAAAGAGTTAATCTCTTCGTGATTTTTTATATAAGCTAGTAAAAGTCTGTTTCCTTTCAATGAAAGATGTTGTAAACATTCTGGTTGATCAAAGGAAAGTAAAGATCCATGTTTGTAATCAACTATTCCATTCTGTGATAAATCTAGATTTTCTATGCAAATGGATTTCAGATTTGTCATTATATCGGATGTAATTGTCAGAGCATACGGGAAGTCGTCGCTATCAATAGTTAGGTCACTCACATGGCCAAAATTAATTGTGGTCATATTTCTATAACGGTATGGATGTAAAAGTAGTAAAGCACGAGTGAGGTGCATAAACGTTCCAAAAAAATCCAGTACACGTAGATGTGGAAATGGACTCAAAGCGTCATCTTCTGTTTTCACAAATTTTAATCGACAATTTCTGAGATAAAGCTCTTCTACAGATGATGAAAACGTCTGGAATGTTTCATTTGATAGACGTACCAAATAACAAGATTTAAAGTATAATTTCCGAAGTTTCTTCATTTCACTGAATCCGCTTCCGAAGTTTGGCACAGGCATCATATCAATTCCTAAGAAAGTCAATTCTCTCAGAACACCGAACGCATGATCGGGATAGTTGAATTCCTTATCATAATTCTCAGGTTGAGGCATATTACTCCTGATATCCAATTTTGTTAAGTTTTGAATCGGAAAAAAAAGTTCGGCTAAATATGCATAAGATAAATCAAGCAAATTGTGAGACATATCAAGCACGGCAAGATTGTATAATCCCTGAAATGACTTATCAGATAAATATTTAAGTTGATTCGTTCTCAAATAAAGTTCCTGTAGATGTGGATAAATAATCAGCGAACTGTTTTCAATACTCTTTAACCGATTTGAAGATATATCTAGAACATTTATATCCCGAGGTAAATCTTCAGGAATAAACTGCAGTCCTCTGTTTTTACAATCAGCTATTTTGACTCCGAGTTTTCCATTAAATACATATTTAATATCACAATCTAATGATCGAGAGATTTCATCACACTGAATAACAATATAAATTACTGAGTAAATTAGAATCCGCACCATTTTGTGACATGGATATCAAAAACAGGACTTTCACATGGTTTCTATAGTAACAATGACTTTGTAAGTCAACAACACTTTATATCTAGGACACAAAGGTCGACAAATGGAATTTTAACATCTTAAATTGGTTTCAATATATAGGACGCATGTATTAATACTTTACTATTTTTAAGATATTATATTGATTTTAAACATGTCTACACGTCATGCAAGTTCTTGTTTTTACAAATTTATTTACCTTTTACTCTATCAATTGACCAAATATTTGAATTTTCTGTTATATTCAAAGAGAAACAACCGCGTACTTATTAAATGGGGACAGGATAATATTGTATTTTGAAGAAAAAATATGAAATTCCAGACACAAGAGAAAAAGCAAGTATTCGAAATAGTTAAATAAATTATCAGCCTTTTATTGGTCATGAAACAAGACAAAATACATGGCATCTCCCTTTGTAAAATTGATGTAATAAATTACTTACAAGTGACTTTTAAATTTTGTACACCGTACCAATTCATTATTTCTTTCTTCATATACCATCTCAATTATATTTTGTTATTGTGGACAGTAATTATAAAGTTTAATATGTAGTTAGTTACTGTACGGTTCTCTCTGCCGACCTCTCCTTCCTTTCATAGGATTTGAATTTCCTTCAGACACTTGTCAAAACAGGAAGAACAAAGAAGCAAGATCATTTAATTTCACATTCAGATATATTGATGATGTTCTTGCCATTACCAATCCGAACAAGATGTAATTGTCGTAACAAAAGTTAGGTCACTGCCATCAATACTGTCGTCAATAACATGACCAAAATTTACTGTGATTAGATTTGAATAGCTGTACAGGTGTAATGAATGCAGTGCTCGTCTCAAATGCATAAACGTTGCATGAAAGTATATTACACGGAGATTTGGAAACGAAAGCAGAGAACCATCATCCGTCCTTACGGCTTTTAGTCGACAATTTGTAAGACTAGACTAAGCTCCTGTAGAAAATATAAAAACGCTTGGAATATTGTATTAGACAAGCTTACTAAATAGCATGATTGGAAGTGTAATTTTGCAGGTTAGTAATATGACTGAATCCCCGTCCTACTTCTTGTACAGGCATCATATCAATTCATAAGAATGACAATTCACTTAGAACACCAAATACATGGTCGGAATAAATAAAATCCTTATTAAAATCTATTGGTTGGGGCATATTACGTATGAGTCTTCTGATATCCGATTTTGTTAAGTTTTTTATTTGAAGAAATATAACCGTTGAATATACGTTTGATAAATCAAGCATATATGAGACATGTCAAGCTTAGCAAGATTATATAATCCTTTAAATGGATCACAAGATAGATCTTCAATTTGGTTTTTTTTCCAAAATCAGTTCTTGTAAGTACTTATAATTAACGAAAGAGTCATTTTAAATAGCTGTAAATTGGTTTGAACTGAGATCTTGAACATTGATATCTCCCGGTAAATTCTGAGGTATAAAATTTGTTTTTACAATCAGCTAACTTAACTTCCTGGATTTTCCTAATAACATATTTGTTATCAGAGTCTGATAAATGTAAGATTTTGTTACACTCAATAATTTTAAGAATGTAAACAATAAGTAAATAAATGATATGTAGTATGTCGTAATCTCTGTAGAAGTAACTACGTTGTAATCAGATAAGGACAGCGTGTGATACCCAAATATTTGGTACTGTTGTGATAGAATATAAGTTCCCACATAATATGTGTTCTAAATAACTTTCATCATATAACAAAAGTTTCATTGGGAACTTTCCTAATATATTTTATCCAATGTTATAAGAAAATTTCCTTCACACAGGAAAACAAATTTACATAATGAAAGTTCCCAACAGAACTTTTGTTATATTCTAAAAGTTCTTTGTTCACACATTGTTGTCAATATAATGGAATTATATGCGACAGCCATACAAGTGACATGGTTAGCTAGCTATAAAACCAGGTTTATCATATACTTAATAGTTAATACAGATAAATTGCATGTGTAATACGGTCAACGTGTTGTATCAGCTATCCGTGATGATCTCGATATCAGTCACGGTTGAAAAGGCTTTATCAAACCCCCTAATTTGTATGAAGTCATGTCAAACCTCTAATCTGTATGTCGTCATTTAGAAAATGGTGGATTGAAACTGGTTTTATAGCGCTAAACCTCTCACTAGTAGGACAGTCGCATCAAATTCCATTATATTGACAACGATGCGTGAATAAAATAAACAGACATAAAAGGTAAAAATGTCAAAATAGGGGTACAGCAGTCAACACCGTGTCACAATCTTATAAACGACTTCAAGTACAAAAAGCATGCAACACCATGGCCAAGAAACTAAACGACGACAAGTCAAACAAGAATAGGAAATCAAAATTGATCCCACTCCCAAAAGGTGATTCGTTTTGTCGACAGTAATGAATTAACATGTAAACAAATGACAAGAATTTGACTGGCATACCGAAACTTTCAACAGTTAGACAGTATGACTTACACTATGATTTGGAATTTAGCTTGCATGACTTTAAATTCTGTCAATTTCTGTAATGTAAATTGGGCAGGCAGAACAACCATCTCGCAAAATATCGATAGGCTTCGTCGTGACAATTTAGATGTCCTGATTGCACTAAGTTTGATCTGAACTAGCTGCCTATAAATTAGGATTTATTTAGGTGATGTAATCTTTCGGGAAAAGACTTTGTATGAAACAGTTAAAAAAGAGGCATCGGTTGATATGATCATGAAAATGAAAAAAAATTTCATGTGCATGTTCTAATTGCATCAATGGTCGTTAGTGACGATTTTTCCAAACGGACCCGTGTATTTTTTTCTTTGTAAACCATTTTAAGCTCTAATGTATTATTTCTTTTTGTAATGCATTAGAATCGGAATACATGTATTACTACTGTAATCAAAGAGTTCTTACCGACAACTGGGATATGACGTCGGCAACGATCAAACGATGGTACTATTAATAATACTAAGTATTATTCATTAAATCCGATGAATTCGTTCTTTTCCCTTTTAGAGTATCTTGTATTTCTGATAATTTTTGCTGTTAATTTTCAAAACCTTATGTCGATAGATTTTGATGGTTTTCCGAGGAGTTGCGATAACAAGATAACAAACAAAATTCGAAAATATGATAGATTATTTATGGTTTAGGAGATATAGGCCAAACAGATCATTTCAAATATTTAAGGTGGGAAAACTTCTATTAAAAGTTACCAAACTATTTCACCCCTTATATATGAAGCCGTGACATGTCGTAACTAACCATGTGATATGCAAATCTTTTGTCCATAACTCTTATTATGATTTCTGATGGTTAACGACAGCAAGCAAACTTCAAAAATGATAAAATGTCCTTTATCATTGTCCTCGTTCTAGAATTCCTCTTGATGGAGAAGTTGAACCATAAATCAGAAAATTTAAGTCTTACTTACGAATAAATCTATATATCCCTTATCTTAAATACAGAATACGCTCATACGGTGTCTCCAGATCGCTTTTGCCAAACTTAAACAGAACATTCTGAGGATATAACGAGCAATTTGAAGAATCAATTGTCGATTGTTTGTATGAATGCGAAGGAGTTCTGAAAAACAAAGTACAGGGAGATAACGAGGAGATAACACTCACAGGAAAATAACTTGTTTGTCAACACAAGAGCAAATGCATAAGTATATTCATTGTTGAATATCTAATATTATGTGCAAAGCATCTTTTCGATATCTTGCAAAATAAAACTAAAAACCTCAACATCTTAAAGAGACGGAATAACGAAATTTATAATGATGGAATGATGGAATTGATATCGCTTATGGTGCCAATATATAACTAAAATTGTCTATCTCTAGTGTTAATCAATTTTCTGCAAGTTTTAAACGACGAAAAAGAAGACCAAAGTATGGTTTCAGAAATCTGTATCTATTATACAACGTTCAAACATATTTGCGCAGATAGCTAATAGAAGACAGCGATAATAGCTTTTAGCTAATACAATTTATTAGGCTAAGCTAAATTTAGAAACTATACGGTAAAGTTTGGAAATATTAAGACCCATAATTTAGTCGAGAAAATGATTTAATAGTTTATATCAACGAACGAACGAACTAACAGACTACAACAACTTACGGGCCACTGATCTTAAAAGGTCCGATTGATTTAAAATGCAACAGGATATTTGAAGTTTCGCTTTTTTGTTTAGCTATCGCCCTAATCACCAAAGTACGTGTCATTATAATGAAATACATAGTATTCTAATAACTATACACATAATAATTAGAATAAGACAGGTTTAAGTTCTAACATTGTTTAATTTTGTATAGAAATCGATGAAAATTCTCTAAATTATTGTTCTAGAACCAATTGCTTACTTCTGTGTTCCTGTTGTTCATTTGTTTCCCTCTTATAGTTGATGTGTTTCCCTCGGTTTTAGTTTGTAACCCGGATTTGTATTCTCTCAATCGATTTAGGACTTTTGAACAGCTTTATACTACTTTTGCCTTTATTTAAAACATAATCTTTAAAGAGAGATTTAAAACATTTAGAGAACAATTACTTTTATTATATGAAATAATACTGATTTCAGAATAAGTAAACATTTTCCTGGTTTATATGATGAGTTTATTTTCATAGATAGCACATTGAATTTCTGAAAAAAAGTTCAAAAATTTGTCATCAAATCATGAAATTCAAGATTTTTTTTAATCGTACATGTATGTTGTTAATACATAAATTTCCGTTTTAATGATACAAAACAATCGTATGTTCACCGATCGTTAAAATCTTTATAAAGTTACTTGTTTGTTAGCAACTGACCCATTGTTAAGCAATATCCTCAGTTTCCTCCAAGTATCATCTAAATCCTCTGGATCCTTCGGCCATTGTACAAGATATGCATAATTCCAAATGTACGAAAACTCATAGGGAATATCGGTAATTCTAATATCTTTTGTTATAACAATAATTTTCTCCAAATTTTTTGTTACTCTCTCATATTTTGCTCTGTCGAGTTCAAACAAAAAATCGTGTGACGATTTGAAATCGTGTGTGATGAGGAAAATAATGAACATACTGTTTTGGATACAATCGGCTTCAGTATCCAAAAGACTGTCACCAATTAAAAAATCTCGATCTTTTATGCACATGGTCAGTCCCCATTCGGCCTCAAGTTTTGGTACTAATACGTTTTTTATCCAAACGACTACCTCTCCTTCATAAGACATATACACGTCGTACTTGTATCTTTTGCGAACTTTTTTTTCAATAGTACGCTGAATTACGCCATAGATAGAGAAGGCAATCTTCCATCTCTTACTATACAACACTAGCAGTAAAGAGATTGTAACACATGTAGATAACAATGTTGAAGCAAAGGTTAACCACATAGTACTCTTACAGTCCGCAAACAAGTGTGATAAGGAGTTGTAGGCGGTAAGTGTATCAGTAACGGTTCCATTCGGTAATTGACATTTATAAGTTTGACTGTCCAGGTCAATTTTTGTATTTTTGATCCATTTTATAAAGTCTAAATTATCGCAGTTGCACATAAATGCATTGCCTTCGAGATACAAAGTCATTCCATGCCGTTCTTGCATCTGATCTGCCCAATTTCTAATGGTTGAACTCACACTTGTAAGGATATTATTTCTAAAATCAAGCACCTTAATTTTAGTATGATCAATCAACTGTACCGGAATAGCCTGAAGTAAATTTTCTCCTAAATACAAACTTGACAAATTTGGCATTGGTTTTAAAAGCTCGTTCGGAAAATACCAAATGTCATTTCGAGATATATCTAACGACTCAACAGATGATAATACTTCGAACAACCGGTTTCCTTGTTTTTCTATTCCTTCGTTAAGGTAAGCCTCATTCAATACAACGGTTTTCAAATTTTTGCCAGGAAAACGTTTTATTTCACTCCAGGCAGTTTCGTATAATCCAGTAGAAATAAATGTTTCTATTCGAATTTTAAGAAAAAGTAATACCATATTAGTCCTTTGATAAGATTTATCTAAGTATTTGAGGTTGTTGTTTTCAGGAAATATAAAGAATATCGGAGGGTATGTGCTTAGTATTGTGTAACTCATATCTAATTTTTCTAGTGATTTTGGTAATATCGCATAACTGCCATGAGACTTATCTATCTCTAAATTTGAAATCACAGGGTTGACGATTTTATAGCTGACAGAATTATATGAATAGTCTATCGATTTCAATAGAACAGCTTTTCTGCAAAAAGAATTAAAATCACTAACCGTTCTCTTATTAACAATAGCAAACCGGTTTCTTTTAAAAGACATATTTTGTAAACATTCCGGGTGATCAAAGGAGAATAAAGATCCGGATTCGATATCAACAATTCCATTATCCGATAAATCTAGATTTTTTACGCAAATTGTTTTTAGATATTTCATCATATCAGGTGTAATTGTCGTAACAAAAGGTAGCTCACTGCTATCAATACTGTCGTCACTAACATGACCAAAATTTATTGTGGTTAGATTTGAATAGCTGTACGGGTGTAATAAATGCAGTGCTCGTCTTAGATGCATAAACGTTGCGTGAAAGTCTATAACACGGAGATTTGGAAACGGAAGCAAAGAATCAACATCCGTCCTTACGGCTTTTAGTCGACAATTTGTAAGACTAAGATTCTGTACAAAATATGAAAATGTTTGGAATGTTGTATTAGACAGGCTTACTAAATAGCATGATTGGAAGTGTAATTCTCGAAGTTTAGTAATATGACTGAATCCCCTTCCAAATTTTGGCACAGGCATCATATCAATTCCTAAGAATGACAACTCACTCAGAACACCAAATACATGGTCGGGATAAAAAAAAACCTTATCAAAATCTATTGGTTGGGGCATATTACTTCTGATATCCAATCTTGTTAAGTTTTTAATTGGAAGAAATATTTCCGCTGAATATGCTTTTGATAAATCAAGCATGTTATGAGACATGTCAAGCGCATCAAGATTGTATAATCCTTTAAATGACTCACTAGATAAATCCTCAATTTGGTTTTTTCCTAAAATCAGTTCCTGTAAGTCCTTATAATTAACGAAAGAATAATTTTTAATAGCTGTTAATTGGTTCGAACTAAGATCTAGCACATTGATATCTCCCGGTAAATTCTGAGGTATAAAACTCAGTCCTTTGTTTTTACAATCGGCTAATTTTACATCCAGTGATTTTTTAACAACATATTTGATATCACAATCGGACAAACGTATGAATTGTTTACACTCAATCATGTTAGAAATGTTATACATAACTAAATAAATCATAATCCTCATCATATTGCGACCTGTATATATACGAACTGAATTTAAAAAGTGCTTTGAATACTAATAGTTTCAACAGTGTATAACACTTTATTTCGAATAAACACATTACAATGTACTTAAGTTTTCATGCTTCAATCATTCTGTATGCACGAATGAACTACAATATATCTAAATGTATTGGTAGCGTTGACTAAATGGATGATTTATCCTAACATACCACTTACGTGTTTTTGTTGTAATAAGATGCTTAAACAACAAAATCTAACTGCCCGTTAATCAACAAGGTCAAAACAGTAAAATCAAGTAAAACAATTTGAACCATGTGGTTTTTTTTTTACTTCAGACGCGATGTACGTCTGCAATTTTTACATTTTTATAAATATTCTCTTCGAAAACAACTAAACCATTTTAACTAAATGTTATAAAAGCCAACTGTATGATATGAGTTTGGCGTAATCTCTGTAAAAATAACTACGTTGTAAACGGATTAAGACAGCGTGTGGAACTCAGATAATTTATTCTGTCATATGGGCGTTACAGATGTGTATGATCATTTTCAGTGAATGGCACAAGCATATATATGAAATTGTTCAGAGTGTAGCACAAAAATATATCATGTATATGGTAGAGTTTACAAATGTACCTTATGTTACCAATTTATCAGTTAATGGTTAATGTACAGTACAATGTAATGTTGAGCGCTAATTACATACAAAGTAGGCAGTTTTGAATGTATAGTTTAATGTACATGGTAGTAATTGACATGTTATTTTATAACTGTATTTCGTAATGCTAATAGTGTATACAAATAGTAGGCGGAAGAAACAGAAGGAACTTTCCAACCTCATAATGTCGGGATTGTAGTTACGACAATTGGAATATATCCGTCGTCATCTGTGACACAGATATTTTATTACGGTATACCAACTCGTTATGGAATCGTTAAAACTTTCAAAGGCATGGGTTCAACTTCACCCCTAGGAATCTTGGTTTGATAGTTTCCTTGTAAGCAGCAACTTGTCTCAGGAAAATCATGATGAAAATTCACAGCTATGTGGTTTCGTATCAACATTGGGATATATGGAAACCTGGCTGAAAATGTCTTACAAAAAATGCAAAGGTATAATTAGAAAGCTGAAATCATCTCTATTGTTCTGTACTTAAAAGACCATCAATGACATTTTCTAGATGTAATGTTATGTAATTTTCAAGCAGTGTCTCTATAATTCAATACTGATCACTTACACCTACAATAAACCTAACCGTGTGTCAAGTTGTACTGTTTTTGCAGGCATTCAGACGTTGTAATTTTCTAAGAATTTTCAAGGTTGAGCAAAGTTTCATGCGGTTGTATTGTGATATGATAACTTTTTATTTCAAACGACTAAATTATTTGATATATATTTCTATTTGGACCACAATATGCTCCTTTCTGGAGATGTTTTCTATTTGTGTCTTGGAGTTGTTGTCCTATTGACACATAACATACATCGTTATTTATTAATGAGAGAGAGGGAAATTACAAAAAAAGAATGTCATTTCAAAGTAATCTTAGTATTTCACTTTCACTTCCTTATACCAAAATCCATTGCTGTCATCACCGTATATTGTCTATGCATTACGCACATGAAGCAACCGTAACGTTCAATTTTACCTGTAGGGGAAAACTTCAAAATGAATCGGAAAGTTTGGTAATTTAAATTATCTTGCAGTAAATGATTATAACAGATTCCTAAAAGAAATAATTTTAGTATAAAATACAGATATGGAGCTGTCTGAAAGTTATACATATATCCTAATTTCTATTTATCAACATATTTTTATTTTATTTGGGCATTAGTAAAGAAAATCATTGCTTCATTCATTTGATTTAATTTCCGTTATTTGTATATGTATAAGCGTTTTTGACCATAGATGAATTTCTCTAATGCAAGTACGCATATATTAGTAATATAGCATGTCGTATTACAATACATGCATCATCTATATTTATCAGCTAGCGCGTGTGATATAAATTAACCTGTCAATAGATATCGTTAACAGAAATTGTCGTTTGTACAATCGTAACTACACTTGGTAATTGTACTAGTTGAACAACACTTGGATAGCATTCAAAACATATTCTTGGCGAAGATACCAAAAGGGTATCCAAACTCATAGGTCGAAAACAGACTGATAATGTCATGGCCTTGGTGAAACTTTAATTCAAAGTACAGTTAGGGACAATATCATTTTTTAGTTTAAATGAATGAAGGTACACAAACAATGACAATACTTTAGCATAGCCCTTCATTAGACATCTTCACTATTAGTCATAATTAAAACCAAAACCGGTACCACAATTAAAGGAAACAGGGTTAAAATTCGCTTTTGTCAATGTAAATGTCACTGGTAATAAGTTTAAATGGACTTAACCCGATTCTATTAGATGAAATCAGAATATATTAGAATTATTATTACTCAATTCACATGAATCGTTTCATTCCCATTTTTTAGATATTACAGTATACTAGTAATTAGTGAATTGAAATACTAAATGCACGCACTAGTTTTCGAATTAACAGTAATTCAACTTCTTCCGAATACACTATTGCAAATAATAAACAATTTATTTATAACGTGTTGCTTTTATTTTTAAGATAGATAGTATTTATGAGAGGCACAGTTAGGAGTAAGCAGCAACACACTTTAATCCTAATGATGTCCATAAAGATGGTCTGAGGTAGACACAGGTATGATGCAATTGATTTTGTTAAAGCAGGTTCTGATATTGTTTATAAAGCACGATGCCATGCTGGTGCACTATTAAACATCACATTTATTGAACAAAAGAAATGCACCAGGTGCGAGTTTTGACAATAACTGTCTGTTTAGTGATGCTTGAGGCTAACATTTGTCATTAATGGGCAATAACTCCTGTACCAAGTCAGGAATATGACAGTTGTTATCCATTCGTTTGATGTGTTTGTTTTTTTGATTTTGCCATTTGATCGGGGACTTTCGTTTTTGAATTTTCCTCGGAGTTCAGTATTTTTGTAATTTTACTTTTTCCTATAAGAATTTGTTTAACAGTTTTGATGACGTATATGGACAATTGGTAGAGCTCATTATTCTGAACATTTTTGCCTCTTTCAGATTTTCTCTATTTATTATGGTTCAAAAAATAATAGACAAAGCTTGCATTGTTTACCCCTATGTTCTATTTTTAGCCATGGCGGCCATCTTGGATGGCAAGTCGGGTCATCGGGCACATTTTTTAAACTAGATACCCCAATGATGATTGTGGCAAAGTTTGGTTAACTTTTGTAAAGTAGTTTCAGAGAAGACGATTTTTGTAAAAGTTAACGACGGACGACGACAGACGACGAACGCCAAGTGATGAGAAAAGCTCATTTGGCCCTGTCGGCCAGGTGAGCTAAAAACCGAAATCTAAATACAGACGTAAAAGAGATGGTAAAACCAAATGAGACCAATAAATAGAGCCAAATCTGGATAAATAATTTATGACGGAATACATCCGTTAATTCAAAATTATTTTACAAAAATGTAGACATACAGAAAAATTTTCATCTCCTCCTTATTTGGTGGCAGTCCTGACTCTACTGAATTGGTTATACTGAGTAAAACCTTTCTACGAAATAAATGCAAAATCATATTTCCGATTCTTAAACTAAAGGCATATTCCTCATTTTGACATATTGATACCTCGACGCATGCATGAGTCTTGGAAACAAATAAGATTATAAAATCTTACCAATTATGAAGTTGACTGCGATAAATGCATACTGCAATTCCTAATTTAAACATTTGATCTGGACAGTCGATTGCATTTGCAAATCATTATGTAGAAGATTAGTTTCTAACTTGGTAAGGCAGAGTTGGCCTCAGATAAATTAGACTATTTTTAAGTTCTGTTTAAGTCGTATTTTCAAGTATTGCTCTTAACTTTTCTATATAGATTTAAGAAGATGTGGTATGAGTGCCAATGAAACAACTCTCGATCCAAGTCACAATTTATAAAAGTAAACCACTATAGGCCAAAGTACGGTCGTCAACACGGAGCCTTGGCTGACACAGAACTGCAAGCTATAAAGGGCCCCAAAAATGACTGGAGTAAAACCATTCAAACGGGAAAACCACGGTCTTATCTATATAAAAAAAAACGAGAAACTAGGAACACTACGAACCACATAAACAATTAACAAGTGCGATTCAGACGCACAAAATCTATGAAGTGTAATTTTCGTCATATCATGCATGATGATTGAAGTATGTTTACAATTCATTACTCCAGTACACTTTTAAATATTTGTTTAATAAATATCTAGTCATAAAGTGTTGATCTAATTTAATTGTCATTAAAAACTTTACAAACCCGGTTGTTAAATACTTGTACCGATTTAATGTCTGGACTAAACTGTCTGCAAGATAAATATCATATACTCAGTGTCTGGACTAAACTGTCTACAAGATAAATATCATATACTCAATGTCTGGAATAAACTGTCTACAGGATAAATATCATATAATCGATGTCTGGACTAAAATGTTTACAAGATAAATATCATATAATCAATGTCTGGACTAAACTGTCTACAAGATACATATCATATACTCAATGTCTGGACTAAACTGTCTACAAGATACATATCATATACTCAATTATTTATATGTTAGCAGTGATAATATTGTTTTTTCTACTTCGTGATATTTATGACATTGCTTTGTCATCACCATGTATTATCATTGCAGTATGGACATACAGTACCGGTGATATTTATCTATACCTGTACTGTCATTGTAGTAGGGACATGCTGAACTGGTGACATTTATATATACCTTTATTATCATTAATAAATAACTGTAGATTGCACTAGAATCCCTTTACTTTGATAATATATAAATGTATAGAATACAATATTATTTTGCATGTGTTTATCAGCTAACAAAAGTATTGTTGAAATGAATTATTTTTGTAAAAAAAAACAAAAAAAAACATTTTTGTGGTATGTGCATTGCCTTGATAATTTCTATAATGATATCTATTGTTTAGCAATTAACCCATCAGTAAGCAGCATCCTCAGTTTCCTCCAAGTATCATCCAAATCCTCTAGATTTGTCGGCCATTGTACAACAAATGCATAATTCCAAATGTACGAAAACTCTACAGGAATGTCAGTTATTGTTATATTTTTTGTAATGAAAATAATACGCTCAAGATTTTTTGTAATTCTCTCATATTTTGCCCTGTCAAGTTCAAACATGCAATCACGTGACGATAGGAATTCAGGCGTGATGAGAAATATAATGGCTCTACTGTTTTGAATGCTTTCTGCCTCGTTGTCCGCTTGACTCGGTCCAGGTAAAAAATCTCGATCTTTTATACACATCGTCAGTCCCCACTCGGTCTCAAGTTTTGGTATTAATACATTTTTAATCCAAATGACAATATCCCCTTCATATGAGATATACACGTCATATTGGTAAATCCTCCAGACTTTGCGCTCAACAACACGTCGAATTACTCCATAAATAGAAAAGATGATTTTCCATCTCCTGTTATAGGCTAAAAGTAACAGTGAGATCGTGATAAATGTCGATAATAATGTTGATGCAAAAGTTAACCACATAGTATTCTTACAGTCAGCAAACAAGTCATATAGAGAGTTGTATGCAATAAGTGTGTCAATAACTGTTCCGTTGGACAATTTACATTTATATGATCGGCTGTCGAGATTAACCTTTGTAGTCTGTATCCATCTTATCAAGTCTATATTGTCACAATTGCACTCAAGTGCATTATCAGTGAGCTGTAACGTCATTCCATGACGCTCTTGCATCTTATCTGCCCAGCCCCTGATGGTTGAACTTACACTTGTCAATCGATTCTTCCTTACGTCAAGCATCTTTACTTTAGTATGATCGCTCAGTTGAACCGGAATAGACTGAAGTGAATTTTTACTTAAAAAAAGATATGTCAAGTTTGGCATTGGATTTAATAGGTCGTCCGGAAAATACCAAATATCAATTTCAGATATATCCATTGACTGGATAGATCTTATACCTTTAAAGAACTGATTTCCGTATAGTCTTATTGCATCATCTTGTCGGCGTTTTTCCATACAATCGTTTTCAGAGTATTATAGGAAGAACGTTTTAATTGATTCCATGCAAATGAATAGTCTCCACCATTAGAAATGAATGTTTCAACTCGAATTTGAAGAATAAGTATGGCAATATTTGAATTTGAATAAGATACATCAACATATATAAGGCTGTTATTTTTAGGAACTATTAGATATATTATTGGGAACGTATTTGCTATTGTGTAACTAAGATAAATTTTTTCAAGTGACTTTGGTAATATCACACAACTGTGAAGTGAACAATTTAAATCTGAATTTGAAGTAACTGAATTTTTCATCACATAGTTGACAGCATTATATGAATAGTCGATCGATTTCAATTTAACAGTTTTACTAAAAAATATTTGTATCTCATTTAGATTTTTATCGCTAAAAAGCATAAACCGGTTCCTTTTAAATGAAATATGTCGTAAACATTTCGGGTGATTGAAGGAGAACAAAGATCCAGGCTCATAATCTACTATTCCATTTTCGGATAAATCAAGATTTTCTACACAAATAGTTTTTAGGTTCTTCATTATGTCCACTGTAATTGTCAGAACATACGGGATATCGGCCCTGTCAATACTAACGTCACTCACATGACCGAAGTTTATTGTCGTAATATTTTTATTACAGTATGGATGTAATAGTTGCAATGCGTGCTTCAAATGCATGAATGTTCCAAAAAAATCTATTACACGGAGTTTTGGAAATGGCAATAATGCGTTATCTTCTGTAACAACAAAGTGTAACCGACAATTTCTAAGAGTCAGCTGTTCTACAGAGGATGAAAATCTCTGAAAGGTTCTATTTGACAAACGTACTAAATAACATGAGTCGAAGTGTAATTGTTTTATAATCGTCATTTTACCGAATCCGCTTCCAAAGTGTGGCAAAGGCATCATATCGATTCTTAAAAAAGACAACTCTGTCAGAATACTGAATGCATGGTCGGAATAAATATAATCCGTAACAAAATCTATCGGCTGAGGCATATTACTCCTGATATCCAATTTTGTTAAGTTTGTAATTGGATGAAATAGTTCTGCTGAATATACTTTAGATAAATTAAGTAGGTTTTCAGACATGTCGAGTATTGCAAGTTTTTGTAATCCTTCAAATGATTTGTTAGATAAATAACAAAGTTGATTGTGACTCAGGTAAAGTTCTTGTAGGTATTTATAATTAACAAAAGAACTGTTCCAAATCATTCGTAACAGATTAAAACTCATATCTAGAACATTTATATCTCCCGGTAAATCCTGAGGTATAAAAGTCAGTCCTTTGTTTTTACAATCTGCTATTTTTACTTCCTCATTTTCCTTAAATACATATTTGATATTGCAGTCTGATGCATATACGAATTCATTACAGATGATGATAATAGATAATACTGAATAAAGTATAATCCTCTCCATTTTGTGACCTGAATATCTGAAATACCCTTCTTGAAGTACTAGATGTTAAGAAGCAATCCGATCTTTATATCGTATTCATCATAGGTTTTAAGTTACATATTTAAACACAGTCAAGTAATTACAATACTTTTGCACGCATCAATAAAACACCTGTATATAATTTAAAATAGAAAGTGCCCTAACAGTAAGGAAAATGTATTATGAGGAAGAAAAACTTAAATACATCAATTTAATGGTCACATCAACAAATTAGTTGTCGGATTCCATCTGTTTAAACTCACTAGATACACGTTTGTGTGGTTTACTAGATCTTTAGTCACCATAAACATCGTCTGACGTGTAAGTGTAGAGGTTATGTACTGGTGGTGACATTTTTGACTGATTGTCGATTTGCATGCCGGGTGATGCGTAGAAGAGACGCCATCCATATCGTTGTATGATATGGAGTTCAAGTAGAAACAACATTATACATTTCCAGGATGTCAAATAAACTTTAAGACTTTTTGAACAGAAAAAGGTTAGAACAAGCATAAATCAATGAATTCCGTTAATGTGGAGCACATGAAAAAACAGTTATATCTTGTCACCATCTTATGGTGTTGATATATCTCAACTTGTAAGATTCGCTCGTGTATGTAACAACGTATTAGATTTTAGCGAGAGAAACTTTTGTATTACTGAAAAATTATTACACCAGGGTTTTCGATATCACAAACTAGTCAAAACATTAACTAAATTTTATCATCGGTACAAGGACATCATTCTTAAATATAATTCAACATGCAGACATCTTATACGTTCGGGTATTTCACATCCAATTTTTTATGGTAATATTCTTTACAAAGCACAAAAAAGTCGGCATTCACCTCAAAAGCTAACAAAATCTTTAAACAGACTTATTAAGAAGGGATATAGTTACGATACTGTTGTCAGGTCTTTAAAGATTGCACATTTTGGCATTAATATTGATTACTTATAGGGTCTTTGCATCGGAAATAAACACATTTATTCTAAAACCAGTTGTAGGCATGATACGGGTTATTTTGTTCTCATATATTTTATGATGGTATAATACTAAACCCCTAACGAGAGGGATTGTACTTCGTATTCATATGATGACGACATAATATTTCAATGAGTTTAATTGAGGTCTGGATCTGGCATGTCAGTAACTGCTAGTAGTCCTTTGTTAATTTATGTATCATTGTCATTTTGTTTAGTTTCTTTTGTTGCATATTCTGACATCGGACTCGGACGTCTTTTGAACTGAGTTTTACTGTGCGTATTGTTGTGTGTTTGTTTTTTCTACATTGGCTAGAAGCGCGGGAACAGAATGTACGTCTTGTTCATTAACTGAAAAATCTCTTTACATTAATAACAAGTTATATATATTACAGTCTTTATGTTTTCCCGTTTGAATGGTTTCACACTAGTAATTTTTGGGGCTCTTTATAGCTTGCTGTTCGGTGTGAGCCAAGGCTCCATGTTGAAGACCGTACCTTGACCTATAATGGTTTTACAAATTGTGAATTGGATGGAGAGTTGTCTTAATGGCACTCATACCACATCTTCTTATAACTTTTTATGGAATTTTTCAATCTATCTACCGAATTCCTGGAACAAAACATAATTTCAACATGATTTATCATCACTGTTTTACAGAAAACCGGAATCTTCGAGATAGCAGATTGAAATGTGAAATATCCAATTTTTGTATGTTTTTCCTCAAATATTCTTCGTAACATTTGATCTACTCGTGGTTACATTTCGACTTCTTGTTCATACTGTAAACATAAATATTGAGAATCATAACACAAATACCATAAAACAGAAGTATACATTCACGATTTCAATACATCTTAGCTTTTAAAAAGAAGGACTCACAACGTTCACTATAACAACTAGCAGAACCAAGGTATTGTGTGCATATATTGTTGTATAGAATCTAGAACTAAAGAAAAATTATAGTTATTACGGGGGAAAACAACGGACGTATCATTAGTATAAGTTTCTTATCTTTAATGCAAGAAATGATATACAATACTGTATGACCAGAGGTGTATGTGCAGTTTTACCTGATGAACGACTTATGTCGCTTAGTCTTGGAAATCTTAAACAAACCTTATCTCAACAACATTTACATCCACACGCTAAGAAACTAGACAGGAACGCTAGACCTATTGGACAAAAACAAAAAAAAACTAAACATTATATCTGTATCCCCAAAAACAATAGATGTCCGAACATGGGGTTTGGTTTTATTCGATCAAATCTCCCGGTACTCAACCAAATCGAGAATAGTAGCCATGGTGTTGTCTGTTTATTATCGATATATGTGTTTTAATGTCCCGAAGGTATTTAAGCCCCTCTTTCACGAATGACTAGATTAAGCCCAAGGTATAATGTGTTTTTTTTTTATCAGACCAAAATACCACCGATTTCACATAAATATAGTTGTGGTATAAGTAATAACACAAAACAATTTTATTTTTCACCTCAAATTCAAATTAGAAGTAATGAATGCTGCTTTACTTGAGTTGTCACGTCAGTTTTTGTCTAATTTTCCATCATTTCTTTTAACAAAATTTACATTGGGTGTATCCCTTTTTCAATTTTTTGGTGTGTTTAGGAATTCGATTTTTTTATGAATTGACACTAGCAATATCTTAGGAAACATATACATGTACTAGTATAAATTCACCTTTCGTTGTTTTGTATATAATTACTTTTGTGTATTTTTTTTATATTAAAGGAGTAATTGGATATCATCGAGTACTGTACATATTTGATTTTATTTTATGAATAAACGGTCTCAACATACATTTTAAACATGATTGAAGACAAGTAACTTTTAAAAGATATCTAATGACAAGAATGGATTGAAAATCCCTCATAGCTTTGCTGTAACCGACAACAGCAGAAACGAGTACCAAACAGGTTAAATTTGATAAAATATGAGTAAATATGAGGTATATACGTAGAAGATGAAAATTATTGGTCACCGTACGGCCTTCCAAAAGAGTTATAAACCAATACCACATAGTACGATATATATGCTTGCACTTATAAGGATCGATTACAATGTCTTACAATTGGTCTTCATTTAACTATAGGTACGAGTTTATTTCTATAATTTGGTAGAATGTTTGTATTCTTGTCTTTCATTTTCGCTAATGGGCTTTGTCTTTATGCCTTTTTGGGTTTCTTTGTTACATATTTGTTTGTTTTTATAGTGATTAAGATTATAACACAATGTCGACTGCTGTAACCCTATTTTGACATTTTTACCCATTACGTCTGCTTGTTTTGTTCACACATCGTTGTCAATATAATGGAATTCTATACGACGTTCATATCCATGAAAGATTTAGCTAGCTTTACAACTAGGTTTAATCCACCATTTTCTACGAAAGAAAAAACATTTACCAAGTCAGGAATATGACAATTGTCATCAATTTGTTTGAAGTGTTTGAGCTTTTGATTTTGCCTTTTGGTTATGGAATTTTCGGTTTGAATTTTCCTCGGAGTTTCGAATTTTTGTGATTTTACTTTTTATGAACCACATCAACAAACGACAACTACTGGACATCAGGTTAATATCTGTATATATTCTATGATTATTTACCCTCTATTTTTCAAAATTTGCCCAAAATAGAATTGCAGCACACAGCCACATCATTAAGGTATAACAATGCAGCACTCCTTCTGTATGCTAAACAGATGTTGGATTGACTGAATTTTTTATTTGTAAAGTAGGTACAAATGCATGTTGCCGTTTCAGACTTCAGTCGATGGCTTTAAGTCAAATATTGTTTTATAGTGTAAATGTTCTTTAGACTTGTAATAACATATCAAAGATTACAATCATACAATATGGTACAATAGAAGTGTTTTTCTTTCACATATAAAAAGCAACAAGTCAATATTTGGCAACATCAATGAAAACACAATATGTTCGTTTTATCTGTATGAGATTCATAAGTTGCGATGGTGTAAACAATAGTTTATTATGAATTATACAAGTACATTTTGTTTGTATTTTGAAACAAGCAACAAGTGTTTATATTAATCTGATTCCTTGTTAAAATAAATACATTGTACATAAATAAATCAAAAATACATGCTCTGTTACATAATAAAAATATTGATAATGTCAGT